TGGTGTTTTCTATAGATTTGAGAAGGGCCATTAACATTCAAATAGTTCTGCAGACGAAATTACATTTGTTGGATATAAATCAGAAAAAGTGAGACCGAAAACAACCAAATAATATTCGATGAATTTTTATTAGTTGCTAGTAGTGTATATTCTTTTTAATTTTATAATTATGAAGAAAAATCTTTTAATTTTTGGGGCAGCACTTGCAACGCTAATCTTAACCATAAAAAATAACTTTGATCATAAAGCTAGATTATATATATATAGTCTTCAATGGTCAAGTTGGTTTTCGTTTGTTGTTTTATAAATTAGTAGCAGCAGCAGCAGCAGCAGCCGCCTCATAAGTCAGCGTTATTTGTTACCTCCCTTTGGTATTTTTTACTCCATCATAAAGTCAATTTATGAACCAGTAACATACTTTTGAATATTGACTCTACAGATTGGCTGTAGAAAATGTTTCCATGTGAAAATTGGGCAATGAAATATGGAGCTCTCCTACCTTAAATGTACGTAGGTGCCTTCAGTAATTCGCTGAAATAAACCGCATATGATGAAAAAATAACCCAAACTTGATAAAAACTAAGTTTTATTGTCAAAATCTTTATGATATTATTAAGAGGAAAGACCAAAATATTTTTGATTATTTAATTATATTTTTTAATCCTTTTTTATAATATTCGAGATTTTGGTTAAATATCTTGGGTCAGTGTGTGGACTATTGATTAGCGTAATAAATTTTAGCATCTTTTTTGCGGTGAAAGACACATTGATTTGGAAATTCTTGCAATAATCAAATAATTGTCGGATTTAAATTAAACTTTCAGAAGTTATTCACTAATGAAATTATTTTAGAAATGTTTTCATGGAAATGCTTGGTAGTTTGTTTTTTGTTTTTTTTTTTTTTGTTGTTTTTTTACATAACTTACATCCCACTTACTTAATTTTATGAAAACTTGCTAAATTAAACGAGGTCATTTTTATTGACTATATTAGTTAAAAGTAAAACTCCTTGGAGAATTTAAATCATCATTTTTTTTTCGGAAAATCAAAGCCAAAAATCTGCTCTGAAACTTAAAATAAAAAAATCTCAATAAAATTAAGACATTATTTCATTAGAAAAGCCTTTAATTACTTGTATGAATGAGATATGTTTAAGGACAATTTTGTCTAAAGAAAAAAATTGGACGAATAATTAATTTTTACATGATTTATTTTCATTTTTTAACATTTTAATTAGAATAATTTATAAAATTTTAAATCTTTTCAATGGTGTAAATGTTAGAGAATAGTGTTATTAAGTAACAAATACACTATGTAGATTAATCATAAAACCGTCAATCTTTGTAGATACGACATTATCAGAAAATAAGAGCGATAACTATAGTAAATTTAAAGAAAAAACATCTAAAATTCAATAATACATTAGATCAGAGATAATATTTTCCTAAAGTTTAAATATTACTGAGTACTTAAAATTATACACGAGAAAAGCTCACATTATATTATACAATTATTTTTTTACTGTCAAAGCCGCCGTAGAACAACATTAGATAAACATCAATCTGTCACCAAGCTGTCAACGCATCAACAAATTAAATAAACAGCTACCGATATGTTAAAAATGCATTTCTGTGATATTTTAAAGATAAAGTAAATAATATTTGTTTCAAATTAGATTAATTTTATTTAAAATCAGCTAATATTCCTCAAATAAAGTTTCAGAAAAGTATATTTTATTTTTGGAAGATTTTTTAATAAAGAGAATGATATTCGGATGACAGGTAGCTAAAATGGCGCTAAAATGAAAAAAAAATCAGTAATTTCAAAACAAAAACTCCTTCGAATCAATTTAAATTAATTTTGAAATACAAAAACTTGCTTACTGGAAATATTAAATTTAATCTATGAGCTTGAAATTAAAATAAAAAAAAAACGTTTCAAGAAAGATTTTTCATTTTTTAAGTTCATTTTAAACCTTGGGTAGCTGTGGAGATACCTACTTAAATGAATGGTGACCTAATGTAATGTTATGCAGCGTTCATCAAATTTTATCATTCTTATATCTCTTTCAGACACATCGAGAGAATGAACGTAGTAAGGTTTCATCTAGCCGAAAACTACAGGGACTTCTTGATGGTGATCATTTGAACAGAAGGGACGACAGGAAGCCATGCGTTAACCCACCACGTAGCTACCTACAAGAATACTCCCTAAGTTTCCGTCATCTTGATGGTTCTTGCGGTCGTTAGCAATGAGGACAATGTTATGACCAGCCTAGTTCTTCTCACAGGCCCTCAAAAGCCAATTCCAATAACTACATCGACGTGCTAGATACGGAGATCAGTCCCTGGATCAGGGAGATGGTCGAAGGGTTTCAGCCAGGAATCTGTTTAATTTCTTGTGAAACAGGAAATGGTGACCGAAAATATTCCCGATCGACTCATTCTCCAAAATGTGGCTTCTATGTTTGTTTTGAATCAGTTTGACTCATTGAGGGCAGCTAGGATGAACTCAACTTTTGCAGTTGCTTCCAAGGCTGACTGAGATCAAACTGAGACCGAACCGAATCTGAAAAGAGGTCGGATTGAGACCGAACAGAGTTTGAAGTGAGGCTGAATAGAGGTCGAACCGAGGCCACATCGTGGTCGAGGCCGAATAGAAGTTGTCCGAGGCTGAACAAAGGTCGAACCGAGGCCAAAACGAGGCCGAATAGAAGTTGAAACGGTGTCGAACCGAGGCCAAATAGAAGTTGAAACGGTGTCGAACCGAGGCCAAATGGAGGCCGAAAAGAAGTCGAACAGCGGCCGAGCAAAGGTCGAATCGAGGCGACATCGAGACCGGAGCCGAGGCCGAATAGATGTCGAACAGAAGTCGAAACGGTGTCGAACCGAGGCCGAATAGAAGTCGAAACGTGGTCTAATAAACGTTTGAATGTGTCAATATCTGCTAACTTACTCATGTCTTCTCTCTCCCCCCTCACTTCGTTAATTTACATATGTTTAATACGGCCCGTCAAAAATGTGTAAATTTTCTTTTCATTTTTTGTTTCAACCTTTGGAAGTAAAGTCTGATGATCTGCAGTCCTTTAAAAGGTCTGTGGTGAAATAATTTATTACATGGAACCTTAAAGTGGTCTGTTTTTATTTAAATTATTTGCTCTGGATCCTCCTTAGGTTTACCCATACGGATTACATAGTTTTCATAAACTATATATATATATATATATATATATATATATATATATATATATATATATATATACATATACACTTTTTTATTTACGATTGAGTTTTTTTTTTCTTTGGACTAGAAATTAGGCCACTCGACGATATTTTTTCGGATGTTTTTGGACCTTTCTTTTTTACCAATTTTTTCCAAGCTACCTTTTTGTTTTAATATATTTTTATTTGCAAATTGTGTTATCGGTGTTTTCTTACATCAACCAGTATAGTTATTAACATAATACATACATACATACATACATACATATATATATATATATATATATATATATATATATATATATATATATATATATATCTTCCATATGTTATTTCTAATATGCTTTCTTCAAACATTAAAACCATTTTTCGTAAACACAGGAAAATAAAAGAAATCCGTTTGAGGGTTTTATCTTATCGGTTTCTTTTTATAATTGCCCCAGGAACGAAATTCCGATTTTCATCTGTATCTATCGAAATAATATAATTATAAACTTTTAATCAATGTATATATATATATATATATATATATATATATATATATATATATATATATATATATATATATATATTAAGTAATAAAAGAAATGTTTACGTTTAAGAAAACTTGTCGAGCAGCAAAATTACTGGAAGGTAATGCCTTTAAGGCGTGCAGATTTAGCAATAAAGTGCTCAAGATTAAAAAGAAATACAGCATTAATAATAGTCATTGAAAAACATTCCATGACTTATCTTCTGATTTTGAGTTGCCCTAAGATGCGCATGTCTGGGATAAGATAAATCTATTGAATATATTATTATTATTACACATTTTATTGAAGATCGCATTTAAGAAAAGAACATAAAAAGAAAAGACTGTTGAACAATGTCCGTTTTCTTTATATTACGATTAACATTTCCATACAACTATAAAAAATATTTAAAAAAATGTAAAATTATAAGTCTTTGTACAAACATTGCTTGTCTTGAGAAAAACGGCTGTAATGGTAATCAACGCGACAAAACGAATAAACGCTGTATGAGTGAATGGAATCCAACTGAAACATGATGGCGGCAGTGCTCATTATCATCATCATCATCATCATAATCATCATCATTACAATCATCAGCATCATCATATTATTATTATTATTATTAGTAGTAGTAGTAGTGGTAGTAGTTTTAGTACTAGTATTATTGTTAAAAGATAACTAATATTATTAAAAACAATAGCAGATAACAATATCATTAATAATAATAATAATAATAGATATCTATTATTATTATTGTTATTATTATTGTTATTATTATTTGGAGATATATCTATTTTATAAAATACACCTATCTGTTACTAAATCCAATAGATTTAACTTCCCTCTTGCATTCAGGCCTATTTTAATCTGTTCATCATCATATATATATATATATATATATATATATATATATATATATATATATATATATATATATATATATATATATATTCATCTGATCCTCATATATATATATATATATATTCATCTGATATATATATATATATATATATATATATATATATATATATATATATATATTCATCTGATCCTCATATATATATTTATATCTATATCTATATATCTATCTATATCTATCTATCTATCTATCTATATATATATATATATATATATATATATATGCGTTTGTGTAGTTATATGTGTGTGCGTGTGTGTTTTAAATTAATTCATGTATTTCTTTTTTTAATCCAATGTTATGCTTTTTTTTTTACTCTAAATGTATTTAATTATGAAAAATAATGTCGATTAAAAATGCCTTTAATTTTAAATACCTACTTTTATTTTTCGGCTATGAAAACATAGCTAGCATATATGGATTCGAAAGGTCCGAATGGGAGATGTGAATTAAAGGTAATTGAAACTGACTTGGATATAGACGCTAATGTCCACTTTTATATTTAGGCGGTAATTGAACGATTGGCTACACGGTAAAGAGGAAATGCAGTTTCAATCGCTGCCGAGGAGTAAATTTTCATTAAAATATTCGATCCTTCTCCGCCGGTAGACATCAGTTTCAGTACACGTTATATTTACTGAGTTCCCTTGTTTGAGGAAACGTTACTTTTTGCTATAACTGTGAACTTAGTGTCTACTTGAAAAAATCGAAAGTCTTACTAAAGAAAATGTGCCTCCCAATAGGAACAGAACTGGTATTTTTTTTTTCAATATGGAAACAACTTCGATCCTTCTCGGAGAAATATTTTCCTTTTGAAGACATTTCGATTCCTAGGCAAGAAGACATTAATTAAACACGCGTACCACTAAATATAACATTTATAATAGCAAGTCATATAATGTCGGATTTAAAAGTTCTATAAATGGTTTCATATATATATATATATATATATATATATATATATATATATATTTCCCCTTATATATATATATATATATATATATATATATATATATATTTATATATATGTGTGTGTGTGTGTGTGTGCATCTGTGGTGTGTAATATATGTCTACCAATTGATATTTTATTCTATTTTGTTCAATTCCCTTCGACCGTCTCAGTCATTATCAAGAATAGTATTTTGTCTACATGGTAGACACGATTTTTTTTGCCTATCTTTTGATATTTTTCTTTGCAATGCCGGAATACAGATTAGTGCACAATGATAATTTATTCACATTTATTCATGTTCCCGTCTTATACTGAAATTGGAAAAATACAATTAAAAAAAATGGAAAGACATGTCTTGTTGATCAAATTTAACGAAGGCAAACAATCTATCTCACGTAGATTAAATAAAGTGTTCATTTCGAAATTCTTCTAGCTAAATCTAAAAGCACCTGAAGAAGGCCGGGTGCTAAACGAACGAAACGTGAAAAAGATGAAGTCAAGAGTCCGAGTGTAAATCATGTAAATAATGAAACTCCTCAACCAGAAATTCAAACAGAATACATCCATGCATTTATATATATATATATATTTATATATACATGATTTACATAATTATATATATATATATATATATATATATATATATATATATATATATATATATATATATATATATATATAAAAAAAGAGGTTGTAGTGGTTCCAACGAGAGAAAAGTATGTATATTGAAACGAAAAGAGAGAGGCCGCAAACGTCTTTGGTTGTAATGTGGATTTATTTAGAAAAAATATTATGCTTTGTTTTACATAATTTTACGACACGTGTTTCTGGTTTCGCGACCGTCTTCAGGTAAAAGCGGAGATTTCCACATATTATTAAAAATAATTTTTTCCTTATGTTTTTCAATGTTAAATATGAGACATTTTCTGTTTTTGTGTTAGTAATCCGAATTTCTTTCTTGAATTGGCTATGAAGAGTTCTGCGCGAAGTGTCATAAAACAATTAAGGTTGGTCCATATATATATATATATATATATATATATATATATAGATAGATAGATAGATAGATAGATAGATAGATAGATAGATAGATATATGAATGATAAAATGTAGTTTTTAATGTGTGCTATATTTATGGGTTAAAGTAGTCAATATCAGGAATAGAGTGTACGCAGTCTGTTTCACGCTTAACGTAATCGTCAGACATGATGATTGCGTTTAGCAAAAACTGTCTGTAACTTCTGGACGTTGACATAAATGCCCACTTTTTACTTTTTATATATATATATATATATATATATATATATATATATATATATATATATATATTAAAAGAAAAAACAGATCACTGGATTTACATTGAGCTTTCAGGATTTCGTCCTCCTTGGGACTACCCATAAGGATTACCTAGATTTTCATAACCCAATAATATATATATATATATATATATATATATATATATATATATATATATGCCACATTAAAAATAGAATCCTTTTCCTTGATATTTCTAGGAAATGTTGATTTTATCACTTCATTATACAAAAAAAAACACAAGCAAAATATATTTTTTTTTTGAATTGTAAAAGCGCATTTACTCACAGACAAAAAAAAAAATAGATGCCATAAAAATTTGATTAACCGTGCGAAAAGGATTCTCTCTTGGGACAGTTTATTTGATGGAGAATTAAGTGACGTAAAACAAACACTTTTCAACAGTAATTTCACAATGTCGCTGATGAAGAAAATAATCGCACGTTAAAGAAATAAAAAATAATAACATAATAAACTAACTTGATATAAACAAAGATAGAGACATGATTAAATTATTTATTGTAACCAGATGCATTCTAATTATAAAGAAGAAAAGGAGCATTAAAATATAATTCGTCAATGTGT